GATGCTCTCTAAGGCTAGTGCAAAAGTGTTTGTACCACTGGTATACCCTTATTTACACTTTGAGTGTAAATGGTGGGCTAAATTTGGTCAATTAAATTCTCTAAAAGTGAATTTCATCTATGTTTAGAAGTGCATGGAAGGTCTCCATGCTAATAAACAAGGACTAAAGCTTTCCGCGGAGGAAAAAGACAGGCCTAGGAATTAACACTTAACACGGGCTTAATTACGGCACGCACGCGCCTGTGAAAACCTGCCATTCAAGTGCATTGGTAAATAAACCTCTCTTTACAGGTGATCCAAATGCGTCTCGCTCCAGACAGCCCTCTGTTCCAGCGCTGATATGTAATTAAAATCATCTCCAAAATTCTCCTCGACAGGACGGGCCTGAGCCAAAAATGTAAATGACATTAAGGGAGACAATGAATTGAATTTTGTTTAATGTCCCTTTTGCTGGTGCTAATTTACATAGCGCTTTTCCAACAAAAGCTCTGACCTTCTAAATGCTGGCATTTGCTCAGCACCGAGAGCAGGCCTGTGTGCGGATGAGAGGGAGGAGGTCTTTTTAAGTAGCCTGGTCGGAGAAGATACAAACAAAAGGGCAAAAAAATGGAGGAACGATCTGTGTTGGTTTTTAAAGATTAAAAAAACCTGCAACAGGCAGAGAGTGCATACACAAATTGTTCCTCGGCATATGGCTCCAGGAAGACCTAGCTAATAACCAAGCGTAATCCCTTCTGGAAAGGTCCTCCGGTATGAAAAAAAATTAATGAATGTTTAGCTAAATCAGCACTGGGACCCAAATACCACGCGGTCCGAACAGGTGCAGGAGCCTTGGCGAAATGAGCTACATAAACCGTCCTGCTACACAACTGTGTACTCTGTCAAAAAAAAAGTCAATCTCATGAATTATTCAGTTGAGGGAGGGGGTTGGCTGTCAGAGGTCAGCATGTCTTGACCTTTCTGACAGGAAGTGAAAGGGAGATCGGTTGGCTAGGAAAACCCTGATCGCTCTTGAGTCAGAGAGGTATTATTAGTTCTCGGACCGATATGGGGGCGGTAAATGATCCAACGCCTCGCTCTTGACATGTGTGTTCAAGACATCACCTACAAGAGTTCAGGACTAGCCGAAGAACTCATTTCTGAGGCTCAATCTATCTTTCAAAAATACCAATGAATAATCTATGGTGAAACAGGGTCGGGTTGTAAAATATTTAAAGATCCGTCGAGGTTGAAATTTTGTAACAGCTGTGAAATACAACCGAGTTTCTCTCAATGTTTTTTTCTTCTTCTCATGAAGAACCTAAAGCTGCACCAAAGTCCAAGAGAAATAGTATAAACAGATGTCTGGCTTGACTACAGGAAAATAGGACACATTTGGAATGATAAGTCTCCTAAACTCCATTGAAAATGCCAGAAGCGAGCGGGTGCCAGTTATTGTCCAAGCCTGTGCCAACGAGCAGTATGCCTGGCCCATGTGCCATCTGGGAGAATGTGGCTGAAAACGTTATTGATAATGGATCACCAGATCTTCTGGTCACCATAGCCCTGTTTAGCAGAACATTTTCTCCCTTTATCTGTCTATCTATTTGTCTATCTATCTATCTATCTATCTATCTATCTATCTATCTATCTATCTATCTATCTATCTGTCTGTCTGTCTGTCTGTCTGTCTGTCTGTCTGTCTGTCTGTCTGTCTGTCTGTCTGTCTGTCTGTCTGTCTGTCTGTCTGTCTGTCTACCTACCTACCTACCTATCTATCTATCTATCTATCTATCTATCTATCTATCTATCTATCTATCTATCTATCTATCTATCTATCTATCTCTATCTATCTACCTACAGTATCTCTTTATCTGTCTATCTAACTAGTCACACTAGTTAACTATTTTAATTGCAATGCAATTGACCCTTCCTCGTCCACTCATACGGTGTCACTTTGGATCTAGTGCACGTGCACTCAAAAGGCGTTTATAAACGGTGACTGAGCATGCTATATTTTAGCTTCGCATGAAACTCCCTTGTGTACTGTAGCGTTCCACTTTTTCCTCAGAGACCAGAAAAAAAGACGGACCTAACAAGACATTACCCCACAGGATTGGCTTTGTGATTACAAATTAGCTTTATATCATACACCCCACCTGCACAAACGCTTCAGTCATTTGAGGTTCATGTTTCCATGCATTCCAGCCTCTCTCAGCCGCCTTGTTCTCTGAGCGTTGGATAAAATCATCTGTTCACAGTTGTGATATGCAGACAATGCAGTCGGCTAATGAAGCACATCTGCTTTTGTGATCCGACAGAACGGATCGCCCCTCTATGAAAATGATCCTCTCGAGTCTTTCAGACGCCTCACAATCAAAATGTGAGCTTTTTTTATTCGCCGTTTCAACCTACCACAATATCCCTCCTTTTTCAGAGTATCAGACCTTCTTTGCACTGTTCTCCTTTTCCTCTTTTACTAGTGTTACACATATTGTTCACCAGATTGAAGCACAAAGCGCCAAGACATCTGATCCGTCCACCTCTATTTAGGCACAATACAAAGCCCAGCAATTTATGGGAAGAGTCAATGCGGTAAATATCAGCGAAACCCTGCTGTAAAGTGTTCATGTTTTTTCCTTTTAAAGGTAAATACATCGTATAAGCCTAAGTTGGTGGGGAGAATCGACTCTGACTGCCTGAGACTCTTTTCAGGATCTGCTAAGAGGAAGTGATATGTGTTTTATCTTCTGTTCAGAAAACCAAAACAAATCCTCCTCCTCCTCGCCGGGACTCCTCTTTTTTTCTCTCTCTCTCTCTCTCCCCCCACTAGCTTTTCTTTCTCTTGCGGTTGAGTTACAGTGAGTGCATGAATGTCGGTCCTGTAACTAATTACTGTTCGCACACTGTCAGAGCTCTTCAGCACGTCTGTTTAAACAAGCTAATCATTTAATGCAAAGATAACCAAGGTTGCTGGGATTGATTCGCACTCTTTGAGGGTGTTTACAAAAGAAGAAGATGTAAGGAATCTTTATTCCTCACTAAAACAGGTTAAACTGAGAGCTCTGCCCCAAAACCTAGGGGTTTGCCTACGTAGGCAACATTTTAAGGCATCGTTATGCTAATGTAAAAAAAATATTTCCTTCCTATGTACAACTTTTCAGTCAAGTTTGCATCAGTCATTCAAGGCTAAGTAGTTTGTAAATGAAGTACAAATCTTTAAAAAATATGTACCGCTTGACCTAATGTATCTCTTATTGTCTAGAACTTTTAATTTAGATCAATGGTCTCAAACTTGATTCCTGGAGGGCCGCAGCTCTGCATAGTTTAGCTCCAACCACCTCCAACCCCTGCTCAATTGTCTCTAGTAGTCTTGAACACCTTGATTATTTGCATCAGCTGTGTTTGATTAGGGTTGAAGTAAAACTGTGCAGAGCTGCGGCCCTCCAGGAATCCAATTTGAGACCTATGGTTCAGATCAGGGTTCACCAATCTCGTTCCATGGAGGTCCGGTTCCTGTCTGGGTTTAGCTCTAACTTGCCTCAACACACCTGCCTGGGTGTTTCAAGTATACCTAGTTAGACCTTGATTAGCCGGTTCAGGTGTGTTTGATTAGTGTTGGAGCTAAAATCTGCAGGACACCGGACCTCCAGGAACAAGTTTGGTGATCCCTGGTTTAGATGCTGCCTGTATAGGAAGCAGAAATCAAGACTGCTTACTTGGTTTTACAACAGAGCTCTCCTCACTTGAAGTGTTTCTCTGAAAATAGTCTGTAGTACGGCAGGGTTTCCACATTATGACCACATGACATGAGAGCGGGAAACGCTTAGACCTCCAAACGCGCAAGCACGACCATCATTTCGACACACAGGGCATGAGTCCTTTTTTCCAATGCTTCACACACTTCATGCACAGTGAGTGACAGCGGCAACTGGTCACTGCTATTTGATTACTAATAAGAGAGATGTTCCCTCTGTCAGATACCAAACATTCCCTGCTAAGCAAACAGCTATTTCAGCAAGTCAAACATTAGCATTGCTATCCACTGGTGGCGCATATTTCGTTCCCAGCTTTACCCATCATCTCACCCCCCAATCTAATTTCTCACTCAGTGGACAGGCAAGTTCGTGATCTGGAGATAACTTTGCTACAGCTACGGCGAGAAAACAAGAGAAAGAGAGAGACTCTCGCTGCTGGCAGCGCTTGCTGGTTATTCATGGCTCTTTACAGCAGATGGAAACAGAGAGACTCCTGGCTTTATGAAGCAAGGTAGGCTTGTTCTAGCTCACTAATCTCCAAGAGGCCCGGACTCGAGCAGCCAGCGCTCCCTGTCACATTTACCGTTTCAGCCGCGAGTCCAAGACCTGCCCTGCCGTAATCCACGTACATGCTGCCACCGCAGGGATAATTGGACAAAAAGGAAGAAGTGTAAGTCTCGCAGAGTAAGTGTAACCTTGAGCCAGACTCACAAAGAGAAACATAAGCTGCAGAAAAAAAAGAAAGGACGTCAATTACCCACTCGGCAGGAGCTGGTGTGTTTGAACACGCTTTCCCTAATGTGATCAACATGCAACCGCCAACAGCCAGCCCAGAAACATTACTCATTTCCCACCGGCAGCACTACAGAGTGCAACGTAAAGACGCCTTTTGCCTTGAACAAATGCACGCTTGCAGACGTTGCAACGTTACTGCTCTGCCACGGCACACAGTCATGCCACAAAGCCAAGCAAGAGGCGCTGTTTACAGAGAAGATAAGCAGAGCTGTTGTTAACAAATTAGGATGAAAGAATCATGAATGTAATGCCAAACGCTCTCTAGATGTGGTAAACTGCTTGCAAGTCTGGAGGAAAGCACTTCCCTGACAACTCACCAGCAATTACACGCTCCCTAAAGACACCCCCGGGTTTCCACATCAACCCACCTGCGCGGCACACACCGCACAACAACAAGGGGCAAACCCAGGCCAGGCAAACTCTGAGGCCGCAGCGCCTTACACTCACAGGAATCAAAGAGAGTCTTACCTGTCGATGATCACGGGGTCTGAGGGCGTCTCGTTCCTGTTTCCACAGCTTTTTTTGTCACAACACCGACTTGGGGAGAAGAGCACACAGAGAGAGAGAAAAGGAGACAAGAGATATTAGAGAATCAGCAAACAGCTTGCATGTGTCTATCGTCTTTGAGCACCGTGTGTTTAGATTTATTCATCTGACACACACTCTCTCCCGTCCTCTTTTCTAGCTAACCGCTGAGGTGTTTGGCGTAGGTTCTGGCTGAGCCTGATGGTGTTGTTGGTGGCTGTGGTTCTCGCAGATGCGGGCGGCGGGTAAACACGGAGCCCGGCGCTGTGGCTGAAGGAGGGAAAACAGCATGTTTTTGGTGTTTGTCTTAGTGCTGAGAGGAGGAGAGGGGGTGCCAGGAGGCTGGGAGGGGGGAAAGCTCTCTCTCAGCCCCAGCTTTTGTTTACCTCTAATTGTCAAGCTGTTGTGTCTGGAGAGGATGCAAGATGCCACCTTCAACCAGGATTTCTGTGGGGCACTTATTAATTACCAGCTCAAAAAGCCTCCATCAGTCTCCTACAATGTGCCAATGCCTCCATTTTGAGGCCCTGAAGATGCTTCCATTATGCTTTCTTTAATTAATGTTGAAATTACAGAGGGGAAAAAAATGTTATGCCTCTTGAATTTAAAGAAGCCCACTTGTATAATGGTTACATGTCTAAGTGAGCTAAATTAACACCATATGGTATGGAAAACGCGTAAAGCTCCTTAAAGCTGACAGCTAAAGTGATTAAGGTATGTCTATGGACCTCTGCTTGGGACTCGGAAACGCATCTGTGCGGTTTAGACGGAAGCAACACAGTGCGGTGCATGCAACTTTTTTCATGGGTAAAGGAGACGCCTAAAAGTTGCTATTGTTGTTATGTTGATGTGGCGAGACCTGCAAGGTTCTGATTCTTTTCTGATTTGGTGGACAAGCGGATGCTTGTTTCCATGGGCGTCGGGTTCTCCTCCAGTGCAGTTATTTTATTTGTTGTCATTTTAAGTTTTAAAATAACCGCAGGATGTCTCTGAGGTGTGCGCGTACAAATCCGAACAGCTAAAGTGACGCACTGTTAAACGGCTGAGGATGAAAAGCGCTTTCCAAAATGCCCGAGTGCATTTGCGTTGACCTCTGTGTGCGAATTCAGATTCATCCTCTATAGTGTTAAAAGTCCAGTGAGATCCTTCTCAAGTCCGATGTCACCTAATGATCCGGGGAAAATGCGCTTTTGAAGTAGAACTTCTGAAACTCGCAGAACAGGGCGCAAAGCGAACCGTAAATCATTACGCATAAGCCGGCTGACAATTCTGAACATTTGGATTCTTTTCAGCGCATCCAGGCAGATCTATTCAGGGATTCATTGATTTTCTGTAAGGCTGATGCTGGGAGGCTTGGATGGGCCTACATCATGTGCGTTATGCATTTATGAAAACATGACAAGACATTATGCCTAATAAAATGCAATTACGCAGTCAAATGTTGTGCTTTATAATTAAATGAAAATGTCAAAAACACGTGTTTTCTTACCTGCACATAATTTCGTGTGTGAGAAGAACTCGGCACATTTCTGGGTTTTTGTCTTGTCCTTCATAAATAATAGCCTTGAAATAAAAGTGACATTTTTAAACAGGCAGGTTATATTTAAATGAAGCATTCAAAATATAAAACACAAAACTGCAGCTATTCTGCATAAACAAATAAACTGAAATTAAACGGACAATCATTAAATGTGTTCATATAGCACAAAGTTCGGGTTCATCAATTAATAATCGACAAGACAAGGTGCGTAAATAAAATCCATTTAGCCCACATAAATTGTTAAACAATGCTTTATCTGTAAACCAACACACACATGTCCACGTTCTAGAGAGATAACCTTTGTGTTATTAATTTGCATAAATAAATATGATGTTTGAAATGAATAGCAACACTTGGCCCGTCGTTGCGATGACAAATTATACCACATGCATATCACTTTAGAAATGAAGAGTCGCATATGCTTCTGTTTAGATCTTTGCGCTATTTATTTGTGGAATGATAATAGAAATCACATAGATGTCGCTTCTCCGACGCAGATGGCCGCGGTAAATAATACCCATAACCGTACACATCAACGCGGTTATAATCTGCAGATATTTAGGGGTAGAGTGCTAATGGGCAATCTGTTGTTTATTTTGAGCCGCTAACAATGATTTTTCTTTAGATAAAAAGCGGTGTCGGGGGGTACGCTTGAGTAATTTTTGAGCATTGGCTTTAACAGATGGCGTTTGGAGCTGTAGGTGCGCACGGGCCTTGGTGCTTTTTGCGCGTTCTGTCTCACTCTCTCCTTCTCTCCCTCTCTCTCTCACTCTCTCTCTCTCTTTCTCTCCCTCCCTCCCTGTTTGCCCTGTTCCCGTTATGATGTACTGTGCAAGAGCGCACTCCAACGCGTCCTTCCGTGGGATCCGTGTGGCTCATTGAATGCGCTCTTGCACAGTTTATCACTATATTAAAAAATAAAAACAGTACCATTCATTCATATAGCTATACAGGTACAAAATTATTAGTATACTAAAATTAAATACAAGTGGTTGGGAATAAAAATACGTGCAATGTGCCTAAATAAACATGGCATAAAAATAAATTAATTGCATTAAAAAATATGATAATGCATGTTTATAATTAGCAAACTTTTAAATCCTAATTTATCAAATGCATGCCGAACCAAACGCTGGTTTGCACATTCTCATTACATTAATTTTGTTAATGAAAATCTATTAAGATATAACAAACATGTACAATTAAAACGCTTATGCCAAATCTAAAAATTGCAAACAGCTAAATACGCACTGTGTAGAATTTATCACAAATTATTTGTTGTGTCCCTATTTATTTTTCTGCCTCTCGCTGAAAATATTAGGAAAAGCGTTAAGTGGCTGTTCAGCACCATTGACTCTTTGATCATGTTCATCTCTATTCAGAGGCGCCTCATACAAAACCTTCATATTTTCTCTCGTGTTATGGATAAACTACAGATGACAAGAGCTTCAAAATCAAGCTAAAGATCCGCCCTTTTCTTTACTTTAGCGCCTGAAATGGACAATAGAAAATGAGCTGAGAGTGATTTCAGAGAACATCTGAGTACAATATGAACTCAAGTGTCAGTCTCACGTCTGGCGTTTTATTTTTATGCCTTCAACCAGATTTGATTACAGCACAACAAAAGTGAGTTTTCACGTGCGACAGCGCGATCTAAATGACACACTTAAATATAGTAAGTGCATGGCAATTAATAAATATTGCACTGACAATGAAAGACGCGCTTTAAAATTATTGTTATATCATAAAAGGCGCAGTTATTAATTAAAACTATATATTATATATGAATGCATTAAAATAACATTTTTGTGATTCGCAATTATACGCACATGATCTAAATCCAAAAAGAAAGAAAGAAAAATAAACCGATTTAAAAGATGCAGCCTTATTGAGCGCAATACTCAAATATGGGCTTTGACTATTATGTTTCATGTGCGAGGGTAAAACTGTAACATGCTTGATAAAAAAACTAATCCCGAAAATTATAGAGAACAATTTAGATTATTTTGCATTTATCATCAATAAATATAGATATATACATTTTATTTTTAAATGCGTAATTAAAATATATATTCACATTCTTGTCTCCCCCGCTTTTTCATTAATTCGCAATAAATTACCATGAAGCTACACGAGAAGAAAAACGTGGTAATGTGATTCATATTAAATTAAATCTGCTAAATAACCTCCCCCCATTAATCAGAGCAGTCCAAAACAGAGACACGGCTTTACATTACAGTGTCCACAGTAGTAGTACTACTACATGTGAATAAATCGAGTTATTTTATTCAGTAATAAGAATAAAATGCTCTGCATCTCCGAGAATACGCATTTACTTAAATCTGTATTTACTAAGAGAAATGTGGCAGTGTGTGACCGAAGCATGTTTAACTGAAACTTAAACATACACGTTATAAAATATACTAAATACACACAAACACACACACACACACGCACGCAAGAGAAAATATATAAATGTGCTTACCTGTTTTGTCATGGAATCAATTAACCGTACATAAAGATCCTGTTCTGTTCTGACGCCTGTGGGAAATTATTTGTGTTTTTCAATGTGGAAAAAGTCTTGTGAAGGAAAAAAAATCTACACAAAGTTTCCTCGGGGAAAAAAATCAGAATGTATTCCTGAAATGTACTATTTAAAATATTTATATATACTATAATCGAAGGTTTGCTTTATACTAGAAATACATTTGTGGAATAAACTGAACATATTTTAAGTAAACTAAATGTAAGTCAATATGACTCCACTGAGTGAAGAAAACACTTGTAAATCTACACAGAGAAATTTACACTTACCGTTGCTGTACAATAGTTGTAGTTTGTAATGTATCCCATTGTTAGTTTTTTCACTGTTAGGTTCCTGAAAATAAGCATTTGTTTGGGGTCAGATTGGCATTACTGGAATGCTGAGATTTTATTTTTGTATATTTATAAAATGCATGCATTTTGTCTGTATGCATGTTCTCCGAAACACATTTACGCTTTCATCCAGCAACTCTACTTCTAGTTTGTATCAATCCCCGGCAATAATGTGTGTAATGCATGTATCTATTTAGTTTAGTGTTTTGCTTTTCTGTGATATCCGTCAAAAGTGCTTTACGGCGCACGTGTTTCCAAAGATTCTAGATGTGGAACTTTTTTAGCTGAAAATTCAAAGCAGTATTCCAGAGTGGCGCTTACTTTCTCCTTTTCCACAAAGTCCACAAAAGCTGTCCTTTCGATCTCCACTGGCTGTCCCTGTCTGTCATAAAGCGCCAGGACGAAGTGGAAAAAATTGGATTTTCTGAGGTTGGATGGCGGTTGTTTCTCATAGTGCGCCCGTGCCAGACCAACTCCACTGCGGGGGAAAACAAGACACCAGTGTGGGTTAAAACAACAGGCGTACACACTTGAGATACAGATAGATGTAGATAGAATGAAAACATGGGAGAATTCTTGATTTGTCACTTAAACTGTAATATGATGTAATGAACAGGGGAAAGCGGCGAAGAGGTGCATGGGGAGAGTGTAATTGATACATGGCATATTGGGGATTTAGGGGTCGATCTGAGAAATGCATTAAAAAATCGGATGATTTGGCAAACGTACCTCTGGGCGGCCGTGTGCGCATCCACCACCCCAGCCGTGTGCATCCACGATCGGACCGGATTCATGCCACTGCCCAGCGGTTCCTCTTTCATAGTGGTTCCCCCTCTCGGTATATTTTCCTGAATACCAAACATTAAAACAGTTCGCGTGCAACCCACTTCCAGCCAAAGAGATGAAATGAGAGTGTGAGCGAGGGCGCGTCGTTTCTCCGAGAGCCCCTTCGGATAGCCGTGAGAGTTTGTTTGGGATTTGTCGAAAAGAAGAGAAGAGAAAAAAAAGCAGTCCCGACTCCTTCTTCAGTCCGTCCTGCGTTGGCACCACATGAACGATTCAGCGCGTAAAAGATTCTCAAGCCTCTCCAGCAGCTTGTTTGGATAGATGAGAGATCCTCCCGTGGAACAAGTCGCGCAAATAGCCGGGATATTCGACTTGTTTTAATTCAGTTAAACATTTCTTGCAACTTTCGCTTGTTGTTGTTGTTGTTGATGATGATGATGATGATGGTGATGATGCTCTTAGCTTGGTGGCATCCTATAACAACAGCATCAAAAAAGGCTTCGGGACACTGCTGAATCCACCACTTCTGGCTCCAAAAGACAAATAAACGCGTAAATGATCACCGTGGAGGTGTTCCCGGACACGGGAGAGGATGATGAGGGGCCTTTAGCGCGTCTTTGCAGAATGGATGGAAGCATACAAAACTCAACCCTCTATCCCCCAGGACTGGAACCTTTCCCGGGAGCCAAAAACTCCAGACCCACGGGATCCACGCTGTCAGAGGATGACGCGCACGTGGGCGGGGCTTTGCCCATACATGGAGAGGATTGACGCTTCCTGTCGCTGGGCTTTAAGCTTGGACCGTGAGTACGTACGCGAGTGGAGTCACTGCCGCTGCTGCTGCTTTTCCAGTGAACATCATGTCAAGTAATCATCAGAGAGGAACAAAAAAATGAATGATAATGAAAGCCGGCAAATAAAGCGCGCGGCGCGCAGGAACTATATATCCTGCGAGGTTAAAACTGCCATGCAAGTTTATAGAGTGCAAAAGAGGGGGGTGGTGGGGTTGGGGGGATAGAAATAATAACGATAATAATAATAAAAAAAGGAGCACTGACCACCCAATTCCTAGCAGCTTTCCAGAATTAAAAAGAAAACAGAAAGGCCATCGTCGCAATGACAGTGCCAAACGTCCCTGGCGCCTAATTGACAAACGCAAATCGATTCACCGGTTTCTCCTCTGATTACTCTCAAGTCGAGAAGGTGCACTGGCATTTTAAGACTAGATGCTCCTTATAATAAACACCCTGGGCATCTGCATAATGGCGTAATGCGCGCGTCCTAAATTATGGCAACATTGACTGCTCCAACCTAAAACACACTTTGCGTTCTGCGTTCGTGGAGCGAGCCGAGGCGATGCCAAACTCCTAGTCCTAGCGCGTACACGCGTTAATTTTGTAAATTATTGCAGAATTACATCTGAAACTGTGAAAGGACTCGGGGGAAACATTGCGTCCACCCTCTCCTTCTATGCGCAAGAAGTAGGATGTCTTTTGTAATAAAAATATAATCATTTATCGGGACAATAAGGGTCATTTTCTTTCTTTCATTTGCTAAGGTGCTCGTGTCTTCGATATTGGCAGACTCTGCATGTATGTTAATATTTGAATTAAAAGGAGAAAATGGAAGTCCGATGTTGGTTATCTGGGGACCATGTGCGCTGGAGGGAGGGATGGATGGATGGACGGAGAGAGGAGAAGAGAGATGTGTTTTACACAGCAATCTATTCTGCTAGTGTTGGGGGTTAATGACTATTGCCAAAGATAAGTGAATTATCAAAGCTGTTGCTCTTGCCTCGACTCAAAATCCATCACATTGCATCGTCGTCTAATTAAATACGTAAGTAATAAAATTATATTTTACGACAATTTAAGATTGATATGCTTTTTTTGTGTGTGTCTATGATTCGCATTGACTTTGATCTATGCATACGCTGAATGCCTGTGTGAACTAATGTTAAATGACACTCTAGCCATTGAATGATTATTGTAATTACTATTATTATTATTATTATTATTATTATTATTATTATTATTATTATTATTATACGTTCATCTTAATCTCGTGAAATGTTATTATAAATCATTGTTCTCAAAAAAAGAAAAAAAAATGACGCGTGTACTAATAAATCTAATGCATCCGGAGACCTATTTGGCATGTGCTGTTTTTTTTTTTTTTTTATTATCATTTAACGTTTGTATCAAATGATAATTTTGTTATTCTTGTATATTGCCATAATAAATATTTCAGGTTTGCTAACTCTAGGCCTAATCTGCAGTATCTCTAATACAGATTACACACCAAAGCGATTTCAATCTGATTACCAAATTAGGGTTTTAGTCTAAATCCCTTTAAATCTGATACTGTTGACTAGAGAAGTTCAACAATCCCATCGCGTAGGTAACGATCCCGTCCTAAAAAGGAGTTTTAAACCTTATTTGACAACAAATGCAGCTGCCCCTCTATTTTGGAAGATATTAGGCGAAAATGAATGCAAATCTGTGTTCAGAAGCCATCTGGCCGGAGACTGGAGAATCAGCTGCTCGCCTGAATCCATCTCGGCTCATTTCTGAGGCTCATCTGGAGCCCGGAGCCAAAGCGTGCAAAATGCGCTCTTTAATTCAGCAACTTTCACTCCACGCCGTTTGAAAATAAGGTGCGGGACAAATTTCTGTTTTATGACACGAAACATCCGGCATGTTTATTTGGAGAACGGCTTTAATTGCGTTTTTTTTTTTTTTTTTTTTTTGCATTTCGCAAGTGTCAGATGTCAGTTTTTGTTATGCAAAAAATGTGGAAGATTAAAAGCGCAGCTACAATATTGCATAAAACATTTTATGTAGAGAAAAAAGTTAGCCAATAATAATAATAATAATAATAATAATAATAATAATAATAATAATAAATATTCATGTATTAAATATTTAGATATTTAATTGTTGATTTTTATTTTTAAAATGTCGATGTAACATTATAATATAATAATCACTCTTATTTCTTAATTTTTGTTGAAAACATGACATATAAAAGCTTTATGTTTCTAACTGGAACCTTTATTTCTTTAAAGTGAACGCTGCGGATTGAGCTCTATTCTGTCTGCCCATGTTAGATCTTATTTGGGGAGATGTACTAACCGAGAGCGCAGGACAAAGGAAAAGTTAGTCATGCAGAAGGTGTGTGTGGGTTTGAATAAGATTTGTTCGGCGTTGCCAAGACCTCCCGAAGAAACGACCCTCCTCCTTATTGTGTGTGAAGTGTTCCTTTTGTGTGAATTTACGGGGTGAGGCTCCAATGATCCCCAACAAATTTGCATTTAAATAGCGACATCAACCGATTCGCGTGCCACACACCAGTGGCTTTCCCAGATGTCAAGGCAAAGTCAGTCAGATGGCCAGTGCCCAGATGTCCCTTCCACGCATCATACCAGCGCACCACGACTTTCCCATTTGCATCTTTGCGTACGGCCAGATCATCCAAAAGCCCAGTTTTTGAATCTTAAAGCAGAAATGACACCTGCACAAACTCCAGAGAAGCTGGAGGTGAGGCTTGGCCGTGATAAAATTGCTCGGAGAAGGGTGAGGAGGGCCTGTCTGTCTCCAGCACCCCAGAAAAGCGTTGACATGTGCGTTCGGGCTGGTGTTGGCATTGAGACATGAAATTAAATTAGCAGTGCTGAGATTCTAGTGCGTAAAATCGGACAACTGACCACTCAGAGAACGCGTCATGTAGTGAAAGGCGTGAACCAGCTCATCATAACTAATGTAGAGATGCTAAGAGACGCGTTACCTTAGGAATATCAATCCGAGAGTTTCTGGATTTTACAGAGCGCAATTTATGTGTAAACTTGACATTTCAAGTCTTCATTTTCATATCTGCATTTTAAATCATGACTTGAAAATAATTTTCTGCGTTTGTGCTGGGTTTATCTAATAGGGATTGGGAGAGCGAAAGAGAGAGAGAGATGGAAATCAAAGATGCGTAAACGTCAGTGCATGACAAACAGGGCGAATCAATCATTCGTCTTTGCATTTTTAAACTGTTGCATATGTTCTCTTCGCCTTAATCATGACAACTAATTACATCGTTAATGATCAGAAAAGGGAAAAATGAGGGCAAATAAAATCTTGATGAATTATGTGCATTGCTATTAGAGTCAAGTCATCGTTCCCGTCACAGTTTGTTGTCGTTTCTGGCGCCTTTAAATGCACTTGAGCTTATTATATTGCATAACATTATTTTGGCCATTTGTTTTAAAGCGTAAAACGAATGTGTTATCCATATATAAAAGTATACGTTCTATTTTTTACCGCATATAAGTAATTAAAAACAAGTAGCGTTAAATAATAACAAAGCATAAATAATAAAAATCATGAATAAATAATAAATTAATAGTTGAAAAATAGACAAACATTATACTTAATTATTTAGGTTGTCTAAAATATCAGAACCAATATGACGGGTCTCATTTTCTCCCTCAAATATACATTTGGAGCATCGGTCTAAAGGAATAAAACGTGAAATAGATTAAATTATTTTCCGGGGGAAACAGCAGGAGCTTTTGGCGGAGCATCTCTAAATCTTTGAAGGAAATTTGATGAAGAGCGCCTCCTTTTGACGCGTCTTTGGAACAGCGCTTCAGATCAGAGCACAATTAAACCGGGAAGCGCTCTCTGATCAATAGCTGAATATCGATCAAACATAAGCCAATCAGTTTCTGATTTTCTTTCAAAATCTACTAGAATTTATCACCTCACAATGTTGTGTGTTTTATTCATATTTGTAAAAATCAAATAGATTAAAAAAGGCGAAGGAAAACTTCGAAAACGCAAACGTCATTAAGTTTAAGGGAATCATTTCTTAACCTAATTTCTTCAATTAACTCGTTTTGCACTCACAAATATAAACATTTAATCAATAAACATAAGATGATGTATTTGTATAAAATGAAAGAAATGCAAATAAAGTATCGTGTGACACGCTGTCGTGTCCAATATCTGCTGATGCTTTTATTTGCACACACACAAAAAATCTTCATATCCAGCAGCATCTGTATTGTGCAGAAGTGCATGTGCTTGCAAAATGCATGTGTTATTTCTGTGTGAAACAGATCGTGCTGAGGGCACCTTCACTGTGAAAACAGGTTTCGATTAGGTAATTTTAGATATTGTAATTGGCTTTAATTAAACATGTATCGCGCTAATTAACTCAGATTTTTGCTCAGCCGCTGGGACTCCCGTGTCGGCTTTGATACAGTCGAGCAGATGTCCCAATACAACTCCAGTGACAATTACAAACTTCAGCTCTATAGTTCTCTGGAAATAACTTCAAACCTGACGACATTAAACAGGTCACATCGCTGGATGTTCAATATTCATTTGAGTGCATTTATTTTAAACTAAGCATTTCTTCCAGACGACCCTTCGATTTGATGTTCGAACCCTTCGAACAGGAGCGATAATAAATGTTGATATTATTATATAACTATATATAACAGTAAAATTATATAATATAATAAATTATATAAATTCATACTATATATAAAATAAATATAACAATAACAATTCTAATAATAATATAATATCAGTTATATGAATTATGAATTGTATAATCGTTAATAATATAATGATATAATATAATAATAACAATAAACACCCTAACAACAATAACAATTATTATCATACAATTATTAGCCTGAAGTTCGTTCTTTGTGTGTCAGTGTAACAAAGATCGTGATTCGCAGCTGATTTTAAATGAAAACAGCAGAACATGTGAAATGGGCTGGTTATGTCGAGGTTGCCATATAATAATTAGCATTTTCATTCTGCTGCCGAAATGAAGAGGCAGAGAGAGAAAGAGCCCGAGGCGCAGCTCCAGGCAGCACCTATAGAAAGAAAGGAGCGGAGAGCCATTCTACACAATTAACATGTAAAATATCCAGTGGAAATGGACTCTGAAAAGAGACGGAGCGGGTCAGCTCCACCTCATTTCAGCAGATCCCGTAAACTCTCGTGATTACAAAGTTTACCGGAGTAATTAACGGCGCGGGGCCGTCAGCTGCACCTGCGCTCGGGGCCCCTGCACACACACACCCTCACACACTGAGAGATTTCAGCACTCTCGGTATTAAACAGCTTCACCCTGCAATGAGTTTGTCACCAGCAGCACGTCCTTCATGAGACGTGATTGACCTACTTTCTCCCGGTTA